TTTTTAATAATGCAATCTTATCTTCAGTTTTGTTTTCCCTTCATGAGTGGGCTCAGGTAGGATTTATCTTCTTGTGTTTGGCTTGAGACACTCAGCACACAATCCTGAAGTTCATGCACATGAAAGATGTTTCAATGTGTCTCTCTCTTACACTGACATTCAAATAAATATTTTAGAAGAAATTTTAAGACAAAAACAGACTTGTATGTAGCAGTTCTACTTCAAGGGAATTTTTGAAGATCTATTTATTTTTATTAGAAAGGCAGATTTTGGGCCCAGCGTGATAGTTAAAGTCCTTGCCTTGCACACCCAGGATCCTATATGGGCACCAGTTCTAATCTCGGCAGCTCCATTTCCCATCCAGCTCTCTGCTTGTGGCCTGAGAGAGTAGTTGAGGATGGCCCAAAGCCTTGGGACCCTGCAACTGCAGAAGAGGAAACCCAGAAGAGGCTCCTGGCTTCCGAAGAGGTTTCAAGCTCCAGCCGTTGCGGCTGCTTGAGAGGTGAATCGTTGGACAGAAGATCTTCCTCTCTGTCTCTCCTCCTCTCTGTATATCTGTCTTTCCAACAAAAATAAATAAATCTTTAAAAAGAAAGATTGTTGGCACATCCTTTGCAATATATCTAAATTGAATAATGGTACCAGATAAAACAAGAGATGGAAACAAAGCTGTGTATCATCCATTGGCATGTATAATCAATAACTGATTTAATTCTCTTAAAAAAAAAAAAAGGAAATGTATAGCCATTAAAAGCAGTGCTCTAGGGCTCAACACAGTAGCGTAGTGACTAAACTCCTTGCCTTGAACGTGCTGGGATCTCATACGGGTGCCGGTTCGTATCCCAGCGGCCCCACTTCCCATCCAGCTCCCTGCTTATAGCCTGGGAAAGCAGTCGAGGATGGCCAAGGCTTTTGATTTGGCCAACCCTTTGAGTGCCTATGCAGTCAGGGTTCAAATATTGCTGGGTATACAAAGTTTCACAAAGGAGATGGGAAGCAAAACAGAACCTCCCATGATACGAGCCAAAATTTCCCATCTAAGTATCTGCTGCTACCATCGCTTCTGTCATAAAATGGAGGGTGGGGCCACTCATGAAGGGATGATGTCTTGGGGCTGGTTGGTTGCAACTGGGCTTTATTATGGCGGATGATAGCCCTGGCCTTAGGCAGCTGCCTGACAAGGCTTCTTTGACATAAAACACACCCAGCCCAAGACCAAGTCAAGTTTGTTAGCAAGCTCAGAGACTACCGATGGCATCTTCAATTTGATTAGGCCAAGGAGCCTGAAACTTACAAATGAATTTGAATATCTGGTATTAATTATTTTCATTTCTTCTCAGTTGCTCTCTTATTTGATTTAGGGGCCTGCCTGACGCACATTGGTTCCAGTTGGTTAGTGAATAGTAGTTCCAAAAGCATTCTGTCCAGGTATGCGCCTGTATTCACAACCTTGAGAGTTAAGTTGCTGGGAATAGTAAGAGCCATCTTGCATGCTCACTAGAGGTTGTACCAGCGACGCCCCACATCCTGCCTCGGGTGTGAGGTGGGTCTCTCTGGATGGTAACAGTAGAACTGCCGGGTTCCTCGCCCATCCCTGTGAGGCATAGTCCTGCCTAGTGCTGTGTTAGCACGGCTGGAGGCTGCACCGTTTCTCTTGCTTAGCCCTCAGTCTTGTCCAGCTGACAAACATTGTGAATGGAAAGCAGCCAAGTACTCCACACTGTGTGAAACAGAGGCCTTTTGGAAACTTTCTTTTGTCCAAATAGAAAGTTACCATCATCTTCACCTTGGCCTTGAGGTGGTTTAAAGCATCATGGGGTTGCACAGAAGCCCTCATGTGTTTGTTGCCTTGAAAAGCTCCTGGCCTAACCATGGCCAAGTGAGTGGTGAGTGAGGACAGACTCTGATGTGGGGAGGATAATGCTGAGAAACCAGAGTACGAAAGGCAGAACCAGACCTTAACATTCTCAGCTAGAGATTAGCCTCTGCCCACCTTCGCTCCATTAATCCTCAAAACGTAGATTTACAGAGCAGTTTCCCTGCAGAGAGCCATCCGGCTCCGCTTCCTCACCAGGCAGCCCCAACCGAAAGCTGAAAAGGGTGTGTGTTTCTGGAAGGAATTAAAAAAAAAAAAAAAAAACACCCAGAATTTAATCTCTGAACAGTATTATCTTTCAAGTAAGAGAGCCCAGATCTTGCTTGCTGTAACTTCCAAGTTGCAGTCTGTGTTCTGTCTATCACAAATCCCTCCTTCCCACCCACAAGTCCCCTTCTGTTGTGGGAAATGGCAGGCCTCCCCAGTCTTTTTTTTTTTTTTTTTTTTTGTGCCTGGGGCCAAGCTACTCCTCTAACCATGGTTTTCTCTGAGCCCCCTTGCTGTAGCCCGTTTTCCCACACCCGGCAGAGAGGTAAACACGTGTGTGTGTTGACCAGGTCTGAGGGAGAAAGGCCAGTGCGATCCAGAGCTCTGACTGCCAGGACACCAGCTGATGACCTTGCAGTGCCGCCGTCCCTGAGTTGCTAATAGCGACTATCCAAGCCTCACATTCTTTGAAGCTATATAAAGAAAACTTGGTATCATCCTTCTGTCCAACTTATGAATGACTGTCAGGACATAGCCGCTCACATGATCTGGAGTTGGTGGAGTTGTAGGATTCAGGCCAAGACAGGCCATGGGGAATTGAAGAGGCTGATTTCTGCCAGTAGTCGAAACACATCCACTTTTAACATGGCTTGAATGTTTTGATGGGGTTCACCTTATCAGATTTGGTTTGCTTTCATCCCATCCCACTCGGCCTTGGCTTTGATCAGTCACTGGGGTGACAAGTTTCCATTACTGACTTTTTAGTTTCAGATGATGTACAATTGTAACCATTTCATTGTCCAGTCTTAGAGCATGATTGCCAAACCACAAGGCACAACCTGTGAGATTTTTGCTGCGTTTGGAAAGCCTTCTGACTGGCAGTGTGTCTCTCATCGTATGGCTTCATCAAGCTTTGACTAGATGGAGGATGATTTCTCCCATCAGTTAGGATGCGATTTGACTGCAAGTAATAGAACTCTCTCTCTCTTGCCCTAGCAGCCTCAGCATCCTGGAACTTTTTTCTGTATAGTCAGAGATCTGGAGCCAGGCTCTTCCAGAAGGAGCCTTCCCTGGTGCCATCAGAAACGCATGCCCCTGCTGTCTGCATACCCTGTAGTTCTTAGCATATAATGTCTTAGTATTCCTTGTCAGCCTCTAGCTAGACTTCCATTCTCTGGGTGGGAGAAGAAAAATCAGGACAGAAAGGGCATACCAACCAGCCTGCCACATTGAGGGGCTCCCACCCCCCCCCCAAAAAAAAAACATAGAAACTGCTTTTAACGTCTCGTTGGCCAGATCCATGTCATGTGGCCCTACCTAGAGACAAGAGAAACTAGGAAAAATAGCTTGTTAGCTGGGCCTGCATTGTTACCAAAATTCCAGTGGTATTATTAGGGAGAAGGGATGACCTAATTGTATCCAGACAAGTGGCTGTCTCCTAAGTTCCCTGGCTAAAGTTAAGTCTTATCTTATATAAAACATCAGTGCCTAAGGTCCTCCCATGTAGTTTGCCTCTAGCAGGTTGAGTCTGCACAAGGCCTGGTTTACATTTTGTGAATTGGATACATATAGCCCACCAGGCACTATTTAAGATTCAGATTATCCTATTGCAAGCTTACATCTGTGTGTAAATATACATTTACCCGTCTTCTTTTATAGAGATGTAATTGTTTCATAGTGGGTTAATCCAACACCCATGACACCAGCATCCTGTATTGGAGCAACAGTTTTAGTCCAACATTTGTGATAGAATGATTTCTAGTGAAGCAAATAAAGTTATAAAAATCTTTAGTAATCTGTTGGAAGGAAATGTGTGCTTACATCGTAGTGTCTGTGATCTTTCAAAGGTCATTTGTGGTTCTTTGTCCATTTGCAGGCTTAGCTTCTGGACAGTAGTATCCTTGTGTGGATCTTATACTCACATAAATTACAATTGTGTAGCATTTCTGCTTTGAAAATGAAGATGAAAAACAGGTTAATCATTAGGTCAACAAGATATGACTATGTTAGGATTCTCAAAATAGCTCTCAAAGCTAACTCCTGGACACTCTCACTCATGAGGCCTTTGCCACACTAGCTTCTTCCCTTTTCCCAGGCATGCAAACCTTCTAGAAGTGTTCAGGGGCCTGGGATGGGCTAGACTCGAGTCAAGCGTCAAGTCCGTCTTGCTCCATGTGCAATTTCTAGTCCCTGACACTCAATGGGAACATTTATTAAAAATGTGTTGGATTGGGCCCGGCGCGGTGGCGCAAGTGGTTAAAGGTCCTCCCCTTGCACGCCCGGGATCCCATATGGGCGCCGGTTCTAATCCCGGCAGCCCCACTTCCCTTCCAGCTCCCTGCCTGTGGCCTGGGAAAGCAGTCGAGGACAGCCCAAAGCTTTGGGAACCTGCACCCGCGTGGGAGACCCAGAAGAGGCTCCTGGCTTCGGATCGGCATAGTATCGGCCGTTGCGCTCACTTGGGGAGTGAATCATCGGACGGAAGATCTTCCTCTCTGTCTCTCCTCTCTGTATATCCGCCTTTCCAATGAAAAAATAATAAAAATAAATCTTTAAAAAAAAAAAAAAAAAAAAAAAAAAATGTGTTGGATTTAACAACAAAGGCAACTGAGACGGAAAAAGCGCAAATGTGTTTCTGGTTTTCCTATGTGGCCCACCATGTTGTGCCCACACCCCAACCCCATGCCCTGACTCGGACCCGCACATAATCAAGACCATCTCAGCCTCAAGATGTTACCCTTCTGTGAATCTCCACCAGCACTGGCAGTATTTGAAGAGTCTTTCCCACAGAACTGCTTTAGGGCTATGTTTTCCCCTCTCCTTCTGCCTGCCTCCAAGGTAACAAACCAGTCAGGAGACTAGCAGGTGGGTAATGAAGGACATCTCCATGGGTCATTTTGTTCTCTTTTTCTTACAGGCAATCTTTGGTAGCCAGGCACTGTCTAACTCCAATCTGTGGACCATGAATAATGGTACAGGCTGCAGAATAGCAAGTGCCACAGCCGGTGGCCCGAAGCCAACCACGCTGCCACAAAAAGTGGTGCCACCTCCCAGTTCCTCTGCCTCCCTGGTCCCCAAGCCTCCGTCCAGTCATAAGCAAGTACTCAGAAAGGCCACATCACAGAGGGCTTCCAAGTAAGTTTTCTCCAATCTGTTTAATCTCATCTGTGTTTTTTTCAATGCTAAGCTCCTTTTATTCATGGAGCCCTCAGGACAGCTTGCACTAAAGTTGTTGAAAATACAAACATCTAATGGGGAGGAGGGAGCATACAGGCTAACTCTGGTTCTTGGACCTGGTTGCAAATGAGAATTGTGGGGAGCTATGGCAACCTTCTGGTGACAGGGATCCGGCCCATAGGAGCGGCAGGTGATAGCCAACCAGCACTCCTAGGGCAGGAGCCCCGGACAGACATGCCAGGAGACAGTCCCAACTGTGGCCTTGGAGAAGAAAATGAAAATGTCCTTCTTGGTATAGCTGCTCATGATCATTCTAGAGAAATCTTCACCTTTTCACATACGGTTCGATGCCTTCCTCCCTCATACATTGGCTTTTAGGCATTTCCACGGGAAGTCGCGGGATTGCAAGCTCATCTGGGAAGGTTGAATTCACTGACACTAGTCAGCAAGCTCTAGAGCAGCAGGGTTCCTACCACTTTTTATAGTCTGTCTTACCCTAATAATAATAATAGTGATAATGATAATGGGACTTTTCCGTGCCTGAATCAAATTTATGTTTGTGTGTATGTATTTTGATTATAGTTTTCCATGATACAGATTTGTAGGTATAGGGCTTCCCCTATCCCCCTCTCCCTCCCTTTCCTCCCTCCCTGTTTTCCTCTTCTGCCATTTCCCCCTGAATTATGACAGTGGTATAGTCCCCTAATAACAGTTACGAGGCATAATGTTCTGCTGTCTAAGTGTACCATGGCATTGTAGGTCTAGGCAAAGGTAGAGAATCATATCACGCTGTTAAGGTACATTGAAGTGGTTCACTGGGAATCGAGATGCATGCCGCAGTTATCTCTGCTTCCTGCTGTGCTACTATCCATTATACAGTTCATCTATAAGAATATATGTTTATACACGTTTACCTGTATATCTATTTACTTTGTACTTTGCATGGAGAACGTATGATATTTATCCTTTTTGGACTGACTTATTTCACTAAGCATAATTGACTCCAGTTGGGACCATGGTAGGATTTTATTCTTTCTTGTAGTAGTGTAATATACCACAGAGTAGGTATATATCACAGGTTGTTTTTTTTTTTAATCCATTCCTCTTATGACGGGCATCTGAGTTGTTTCCATGTCTTCACTATTGTGGATTGTACTGCTTATAAATACAGGGTTACAGGTTTCTTTCTCGTTTGCAGATTTTATTTCATTTGGGTATCTGAGTCAAATTTCTTTGGTAAGAAACGGTTACTCTTTTTTTTTTGCTTATTTTTTAGCTGTAACCTAGACATAAACTGTTACAAAGTCTTCACTCTAGCAGACCTTCAACATCTTGAAACTGGGGAACTTTTTAGAGATGTCTGAATGAGCCAGGCATTCCCTGTTATGTAGACTCCTACGAGAGAGAGAGAGAGAGAGAGAGAGAGAGAGAGAGAGAGAGAGTGTGTGTGTGTGTGTACACGTGTGTATGTCCATGCGCACATGTGTGTCTTCTTGATACTATCGCTCCTTGTTCATGTGTTCTTCACAAGATCAAGATCAGTGCTAAGAATGAATCCCAAAACACAAAAAAATAGTTACTGTTCCCTGTCTTTGGATTGAGAACAGTCCTTGGTGCTGTTGTAATTGTGCTGCTGCCATTATTCATGTATGCGACAAATATTTATTCAGTGCCTGCTGAGTACCGAGCGCCATGCTCGCAGGAGCTGTCATGGTGCTAACTGCTAAGCTCCCCGGGGTGCTTAGGAAGGCTGTAGTTCAGGGTGAACGCCAGCAGCAGAACAGAAAGAAAACTGTGGCACCCTCACCCTAGCCGAGCGGACACAGGTCCCTGTGGGTGCATTCTCTGGAGCCATACAGCCCGTGTTGCCTGCCCGTTCCCACCTTCAGGGAGATGCAGAAGGCTCCATTGCTCGGCCTCAGTGTCCTCATTTGTAGAAACATGACAAGGAGAATGCCCTTCACAGGGGAACGCTGTTACAGGTAACATGCCTAGGGTAGGCGCGGCTCACTTCAGAACCCAATAGTCCCTGCATACTTATGCTGAGAACCTCCCACTCCACCCCTACCCCATCCCTCACAGGTGGGAAGAACCCACAATTCATTGGGAGAATGGGTGAGTAGAAGGTGAAGGTTGTATTTGCCCATGTGCTTGCTGGGTGTAGATTCTGCAAGCACTGGGCATACCCCAAGATGGCCTTCATTGGCCAGTGTGGCGGGGTGGGCCCAGCAGTGGACCAGGCTGTCTGAAGATGCTGCTCGCTGCCCTGAATAGGCCGGAGTGCTCTTCAGTCTCCTGCTCTTTGGGCTAACTTCTCTCTGCTGCATTTTTGTGGGTTTTTTTTTTTTTTTTTTTTTTTGCTCTGTGACAGGCAGGAGTGTGGGAAAACCGGAAACAGCTCAGCATCAAAAATGCACAGAAGGTGGGGGTAAGCCAAGATTTCTTCAGAATTGTAAGAAACATAATCCACATATCAAAAGGCATGCTGCGAGGCGTTCCAGGAAATAGTTTCCAATTTGCCTGTAAAACACTAGCACAGTTCTCCAAAGCTCGGCCGGCAGCGACGGAGACTTTACCGTTGCCTCCCTTGCGTGTGAAACGTGGTGTCGTAAGGAGCCCAGGAATACTCTGAAACAGCCTTCCGAATTTGAACAAAAGCGAAAGAACAAGGTGATTATGCTTGCAAATAATCTTCATGTCCTCCAGTGTACAAGAGGGACCATTGAGTCCCAAGGTGTGTCCTCTTGTCTTGGGGCAAAGCTCCCTCTGAGAAGTGCCCACATGCAGCTTTTTTTTTTTTCCCCAAAGTCAACTTTGTGTTCATTTTGGATTTACAGAGAAAGGATTAAGATTATATAGAGAACTCAATACTCAGACTTTCCCATCGTCCATGTCCAGTGTTGCTGTGGTACGTTTGAGAAAAGCAGCATACTAAGAAACTGTCCCTGGGACACTTTCAAGAACGTGTCTCCATACTTTATTTGGCTCCATGAAGTCATTTTGAATCCAGGGACATTCCTCATGGTTCCCGAAACTGGGATCCTGGCTCAGTTGATGTAACACAGCTCCTGTTCCCAACCAGCAAAGCAAGCACTTGACACCTCTGTCACTCAGTTTCCCATTTTCCAATAAGAATAATACTCATGCCTGCCACATAGAGTTATCAGAAGAAATATATTAACAAATGCTGAAGAGCAAGGCAACGCCGGGGACAGGTGTGTGACGTGTACGCCTTGAGCGGCAGTACCTGTTACGCTGACACAGAGATGGCATTTCAAGATTGTTGTGTCAGCTTGCACTTTCCTCCTGCAAGAGGCTTCGGTTGCTTCCTGTGCTGAGCGCAGCCTTCACTCTGGCTCAGTCCACATCTGTCAGGAGCCCTCTGTGAGGACTGGAGACTCCGAGTCACGCTCGGCAATGAGAAACAGCTAATGAGAAGTTGTAATGAGCTCCGGACCGTGCCAAGCCCTGTGTTTTTGGGTTGAACTTCAAACTTCTCCAAGCACAGAAGTTGGCATTAGACAAATATAGAAGCAATTTCCAAGAGCATCAAAGTTTCCACATCCTTGGAGGGTTGAGTTTGCTAAACAATAGAACATAAAAGATGGAATGTCATTTGGATGTTGGTGCAGAGGGAGCTGCGAATCAGAACAGCGGGGTCCTGTTTCTTTATGGTAACGGTCAGGCCACTTTCCTTCATATGCATTCCTTTTCCCGTCCATAAAACAAACAAACCCTGTCCCTACTGAATAATTAGAGTAACTTGTTTTGTGACCATTCTGTTGAAAGCTTTTTTATGAGCATGTTGTTTTTTAATCTTGATGCAGTATAGCCACTTTCACCATCCCCTGCTGGCCCAGCAGTTGTTTTTTTGTTTGTTTTGTTTTGTTTTGTTCTGGTTTGGTTTGGTTTGGTTTGGTTTGGTTTGGTTTGGTTTGGTTTGGTTTGGTTTGGTTTGTAGAATTCTTGAATTTATATCCTCACATATCCTTTACCTAAGGTCTGCTTTGTGAATTCTGTGAAGAGAATGATTTAGTTTTGTTTGTTTTTTTTTTTAACAATTCTCCCGTGCCGATAGCCTTTCTTGATTTTTCTTCTCTCCAATGTTTGCAACACCTAATAATTTAGTACTCACTTCAGATCCTCCTTTCAGAACTATTTGTGGTATTTCTTCCAAGTGGTCAGCTGGACTGAGAAGGACAGCAGCCGATGAACAACCACGTGCATCCAAACCTTCTCTCTTCCTGTCCCTGACCTTTCCCCTAGAGCCAGAGTCACACTGCCCAGGAAATAGGGTGAGACCTGAGGTTTGACGTCTGCCAGGCACGCAGGCTAAACCCATAGACTAAAGATGAAGATGATAGGACAGAGTCCAAGCTGTTCTTCACTGGCAACGTTCTCTGAAAATAGAACTGCTAAGAAGCCACGGGGCTTGACTGGGCACCACTGGCATTGCCCTTCTTCACCAGGACCTCAGGCTATGCCACCTATGAGGGACATCTGTGCAGAGTCAGGAGTAGCTGCTGCTCTGGGTCAGCACCCAGGACAGTAGTGTCTGGGAAAGGCTGCCGGGCATGAGGAGGGAGCCGAGGGATCCGGAGGCCCAGCAGCTTAGTGAGTCCTGACACCAGGACAGGGAAGTGAGCGTCAGGCAGAGCCAAGTTTGGTTGTCTTCCTAAGCTGTTGAGTCATAAAAAGGGAGAAGATTCTTGCACAAAGGATTCTGGAGTTAGGAAAAGGACCCAAAAGCTGTTGTTGTGAGCCTAGACGTCAGCCTGTAGGCTAGTCGCAATCTGTCAGCCTTATATCTTGTATCATCACAAAAAACACATTTAAATCTGTGCCCTACCCATCTTTCACGTAGGATCCTCCAAATCATTTATTTCTAAAACATGTAAATATAGTACTTTCCTGTTAGGAGATGAAGGAGGGGGCATCATGATGGACTGTGAGTGTAGCAAGATGCACAGATGGTCACTGTGACAACAAAAGCCGGGACTCATACCATCCCCCGTGCTAACCACAGACCTCTCAGCAGAGCACTGATTTCAGAAGTTCGCACCAGTCCATTCGAGTATATCTGTACAGCAAATGGCATATTAATCACCCTAACATACTGCTTTTGGATATGAACAGTGGAAGCATCTGGAATCTTGATCCCCTCCCTTTCCACATGAGTCTTAGCACTGCAATGACCAGTAGAAGAGTTAAAGTGGGGAAAGTGTTGAGGGAATTCCTGGCAGAGGTTACACAGGAAGGACGGGGCTGTAAGAGAGCACGGAGGCTAGAGAAGAAGATGGCCAAACATTGAGCACCTTCCTGTCTGAAGAAGTGGGCAAGAGCCCAGGCATCAGCCTCTGCCCATGTGGGGCAAGGCCTGCAGGTGGGCAGAGGGGGTCTGCTTGCTACACCCTCACCACCTCAACATCAGTGATAGCATTAGGAGGTCTTAGGGTTTGCCTTTGGCGTGGACACCGACATCAATCATAGGGGTGGGTGCTAAGCAACCACTCCCGACCAAACATTCCCTAGGCTGTGTGTCTATGGTTCAGTAGGGTGGAAGCGCCCAATGGCCCTTCCTTTAGTGATTCATCTTGGAGTAATTTAGATGAAGGTCTTCTCCTCCCTGCCAGCTGGGATGTTAAAGTGGTTGTTGAAGTGGTGATATAGCTGCTGGATACTCCCTCTCCCTTCCTTCCCCTCCTTCTTATCTAGGTATGAACATCCTTCTTTAAAAGATTTGGGCAGGAACTTACAGCCCCCTCTGACGTGCGTGATCCCTATCAGTTCCTCCCTGAACACAGGCCCTTAATGGTGAACTTGGACTTCCTCCTTCAAGGATAAACCAACACTGAAAAACCTTTGGTGCCAGGGGAAGGATCATGAAACTTAAAAAGAAGGCTTCCCAGAAAAATATCAGCAGGGTCCCAGGGAAGAAAGCAACACTTAAGAAACTAACCTGGGGTGTGTGTATGTGTTTTCCTGATGCATGGAACACAGCTTGTGTGATGTTGAAACAGCCAGTGATCTCAGGTCAGGGGGAGGCCCAGGGACAAAAACCACCAGAACATCAGAACCTGGATGCTGCAAAACGTTGCATTTGTGAAATGGAAGGATAAAGTGGCAGAGCTTCTGGGGAAAAGTGTGCAAGGAAAAAGACTGAGAGGAAAGGCAGATTGAACCTAAAATAAAGCATTTCGGAAAAAAACTAGAATGCTCACCATTGTCAGCAAGTTAAGACATAAAGAGCATAACCCAGGTGCACAAGGATTTCGACTGATATAATTAACAATATTACATCAATACATGACTTTGGGCCCTGCAGGGCCCCCTTAAATAATTGTAAAAACCTCAATTGTAAAATACCTCAATGAAATCTTCAAAAAATAAAAATTGCACAGACCTCATTCTTTGACCACTTGGCAGTAAAATTAAGTATTAAGATAAAAGGACTTGACAAAACACCCACATGATTTGGAAATTTTAAAACATTTTAAATACTTAAAAATTTTAAGGAAGTTGGATCAAAAGTATATTGCAGACTGCAGTGAAAATAAGAATTATCAACAGCCAAACATACTTGAAGTAGAGTCAAAAGTAAATTCATAATCTTCATCATTTCTTTTTCTTTTAATTATTTTTCAGTTGAGAAGCAGAGAGACACATACAGAGAGATCTCCCATCTGCTGATTTACTGGCCAGAGGTCCTCAACCGCCAGGGCAGGGCCAGGTTTGACACCGGGAGTCTGGAACTCAATCCAGCTCTCCCACGTGGGTGGCAGAGACTCCATTACTTCAGCCACCCACTGCTGCGTCCCAGGGGCTGCATCAGCAAGACGCTGGCAGAAGGAGCCAAAGCCAGCAATCAAACACAGACACTCTGATGTGGAACATTTTGGCAAAATGGTTAGCCACATGTCCATTTCTAGAATACAAAAAGACTGAAAAGAAATTGTCAAGATACAAAGGGCAGGTTGCTCAGAGAGTTGCGCTAAAAAGAGTTGTGAGGTCTTTTGTGAGCTTGGGCCAGGGTGGGGGTGAGGGGTGGTGGGGAAGGGTCAAGGGCAGCAGAAGGGCCTTCTCGGATGAACAGCATATGATGAGAGTGGCAAATATGCGTGCCACAGAGTTGTCATCCCTGAGCTAAGCTAAGCTTTTTACCCTCTGAAGTTAGAGAAGAGAGAAAGAAAGGAACAAACAAAAGGTGAAAGAGAATCAAGGGACTGCCATGGTGGCATAGAGGGTAAAGCTACTGCCTGTGACACCAGCATCCCATATGGGCACTGCTTCATGCTCTAACTGCCGCAGTTCCAGTCCAGCTCCCTGTCGATGACCTGGGCAAAAGCAGTGGAAGATGGCCCAAGCATTGGACTGCCCCTTTCCCTGACATGGGAGGCCTGACTGAAGCTCCAAGTTCTGGGTTCCTGGCTTTGGCCTGGCTCTGCCCTGGCCATTGCAGCCATCGGGAGAGTAAACCAGCAGATGCAAGATTTCTCTCTCTCTCTCTCCCTCCCTCTCTCTCTCTCTCTCTCTCTCTCTCTCTCTCTCTCTCCTTTTCTCTCTAACTCTGCCTTTCAGAATAAGTAATTAAATCTTTTCAAAAAAAAAAACAAGAAAAATAAAGTGAAAAGCAATATAATTACTAAGTTCAAAACCTCATCCAGTGTAGGTGTGGGGATAGGGGAGAAGGAACTCATCATACCTCTCCTAGGAAAGAAGGGACTAAAACTGGAGGAGAGACCACGGAAGTACACCTAGTACAGTCAGCCGAGGGCGGAAAGCATGGACTGTGCGGTTGGGTGCCACTGAGCGCTGAAGACTGGGTGAAAGCTCGGGAAAACCCAGGTAGAACAAGGGAGGCGTTTCCTGACCCTCCAGATTGCTTTCCTCTTAGAGGAATACAGTGCTGTCAACATCATCTCTGAAATAGGTCTTCAAACTTCTTTTTTTAACTCTTCATAGGCCAGGCTGATGCCTGCAAGAGGAAGTTGAGATTCTTACTGTGGCATTCAAGACTCCCACAGCAGCACATCCTCCATCCTCTTCCCACCCTCTCCATGCTAGGTTATGCACTGGCACACACACCAGCTACTCCAGATTCCTACCTGCTCATGTCCCCTCTACTCTACCCTGAGCCCTGTGCACTCAAAAGTCTGGCCTTTGATTCAAGATGGGCTTTTAGTTTATCACACAGGTGGCATTTTTTTTTCCAGCTACCCCATTCTCAGCTCCTCGAATGCCTCTACTTTGTTCTTCCTTGTTTTATGTTTTCAAATATACTTTCTGCTTCCTATACATCTCTGTGGGACAGATCTTTTGTCTCACCCTGTCATCACATGTGTATGAAATGTCCAGGGCCAGCATTTAGCCTAGCAGTTCAGAAGCCTGCATCTCGTATCCGAGAACCTTGCTTCCCTGACCACCTCTGGCTCCTGACCCCAGCTTCCTGCTAAGGCAGACCATGAGAGACAGCAGTGATGGATCCAGTCAAGTTCCCGCCACCCTTGTGGGAGTCCTGGATCCAGCTCAAGCTCCTGGTCTCAGCCTGCCCAGTCCTGGCTGTTGCTGGTATTTGGATATGTCTCTCCCCTTCACGTGTGCTTTTCAAATAGATAGAATCAATTATGTGGTGTGAAGAGCTATAGAAAGACAATGCAGCTTCCTAACAAATTTAAAGGCAGTATAACCATGCAGAAAGCATGGCAGAGTCTGAGAAAACAGAGCCTCAAACCATGTCTGGCAAGTGGTAGATGCTCCTTAAACATTTCTCGAAGGAATGGATGAAACTGACAAAAAATAGAGTGGATCTCCTTCCAGAAGACTGATGAATGAAGGAAAGGGTCATGTGAGAATGAGCAGGAACTGAAAGGACTGCACGCTCAAGTGTAGTGGAATGGATGAGGTGCTGTCTTTCCTTAATGTGGAGTCCTAAGTACCACTGATGATCAAAGCTTAGCTTCATGAGATGTTTCTCAAGTAGACTTTACAGCTAGGTTCCAGTTAGCAGTATTGTAGTCATTATTTTCTTAGGATTAGCACATTAGCTTCTGTTTGTACAATGCACATCTAATCCCTGGACTGTTGGATGAAAGGAATGTAGCTATGGCAGACATGTGGGAAGGAAAGCCTCAAATGTTGAACCTGTGAGGACACATTGTTAGGAGAAGTTGAAGTACATATTGCTTCTCCCCCGCCCCCTATTATTGATTCCTTTAACCCAACTTCCACTCTTGAGATTTTTTTTCCTCTCTTTGGAATTAGAAGAGGTTGGTTGTCAGTATTCTATAAACATGATCAAGTTGCAAGTTGATGGCTTTCAGGACCTTCATAAATGCCACCATGCCTGTTTTGTCACAGCCCTGGTGAGGTCAGCATTTCCACAATCTGGAGCGTTGGCCTTTTGTGGGGCCTTCCTTCCACAGAAGGATCAGCTCTGATGTGGTGGCATGAACCCAAGATAAACTTTCGCTAAACCATTGAAGGAGAAAACTGGTAGCTTGGAAAGAGCCCCAGGAGAGCCAATGTAGCACCCAACCAAGTCAGTCTTGTAATGAGCAGAGCAGACCCATCCCTCCTGTTGCTTGGAGGAAAGTCTCCACTGATGAAAGTGAAGAGGAGGAGCAAGGGTGGGGGGAGTGCAGCAGAAGCCCTGCTGGGTAGGGATGTGCTTCTTTGAACCTTCTTACGATGCTGGTGATTTGTTATGGGAACTATATGGCATGGGGTTTATTTTTTGTTTTTAAATTACTGAGAGAGAGAGAAAGAGAGAGGAACATCCCATTTGCTAGTTCACTTCCCAAATCTAAGCAAAAGCTGAATCAGGTTGAAATAGCTAGAAACTCAGTCTTGGTCTCACACAGGTGTGGCAAGGGACCCAGCTACTACTTGCTGCCCTGCATGATACACATTGACAGGATGCTGGAATCTGGAGCAGAGCCTAGATTCTAACCCACGTTTCCAATATGCCATGCAGGCATGCCTTCCAGCAGTTGCCTTAGCCACTAGGCCAAACACCCACCCAAATGCCCCAGTGGCATGGTCTTGCTGCCAGAGTAATTCTTAGCCAGCCTTTTTTTTTTTCTTTTTTAAAGACTTACTTATGTTTGCTTTAAAGGCAGATTTTCACAGAGAGAGAGAGATCCTCCATGTGCTGGCACAGTCCCC